CCCCTTCCTCAAAAACCTATCTCAGCCCAGGTATCTTCAAATCGCATGAAATTTTCAGAATATGTTGGAGCTATAGTAGAAAAGCTATGGTAAAATTTTCAGTCCGATACCATGACGTTTAACAGAGATATTCAACAAACAAGGATCAAAAATAGCTGATTTGGCATCTCAAATTTCTCTGTCTGGACTTATTCTATACAGTTAAATTCTGTTTTTTTTTGTTTGAAGGAGCATGTTAGGATGCAGAGTATGACTGAGATGTTTTCATAAAATACTTACTTTTTAAGACAAAAAAGGAATCACAAGTTACATGACCCAAAAACTCTAACAATGGGTGTCTAATTATATAAGTGTCTATATATATGTCAAAAAAAAAAAAGTTTAATTTAAAAAAGGAACACCGTCATGTCTTGCATCTTGACATATTCGTTCAAAAAAATTTTTTTTTAATATATAGGATGAGCCTAGACAGAGCAATTTCGGGTGCGCGATGAAAAAAGCATAAACTGAGAAAAAACAAAAAATCTTTTTCATTTTATCTGAAAAATGCTTATTTTTCAACGGAAATTATCAAAAATTTTGAGGAAAAGGATCTTCTAAATAAAAAAATATACTGTTTCTGAAAGATCAGATCTCAAACTATCGTCCAATGCAGTTATCTCTATTTCTATGATTCTGACAAAAATGGACTTTTTTTGAGGAGGCTCTTAAGTCAAATTTTTATAATGATATTCTTTTTTTTAATATCCTCAGAAACACTGATAATTGTGATAGATCTGTAGATATGTAAGAATTTCAAATAGATTTTTAATCAAGTAAACAATATAAATTTTTTTCTTTTTGCAAATAGTCTCTATTAATAATTGAAATAAGTGTTTTCAAACGAATACCACACTGCAATATGTTCAAAAATATCCTGATCTTTTTAGCTTTCGAAGAAGATGAAAATTTTCCACTGACTTCGCATGTGTTTCGAATAACAATACATTTCTCTATAGTTGTTTATTTTGTATCTTTTCTGCATGTACAATGCTGCTCAATTAATATTATTGCATAAACGAAACACATTTTTACAAAAAAGAAAGAGCAAGAAATGTAAACCGAGATATAAAGGTGAAAAGAGTAAACAAGCAGATGAGAAATATTTCCGACTAATCCAGGTTAGAAAATGACTTCTATTTATAGTGTGGGTGTGGGTGTGGATTATTTTTAGGCTATTTATGTTGCTACTAATTATTTTCCTTGGGGAAAAAACTTACTAAATGGCAAAAGCACGATTCTAGTTTTCAGACTTCTGCTTAAAAGACCTGTCTTAATATAAAATTCACAAATTTCCTTCAAAAGTCCATCAGAAAGGAAAAACTTTTTAAAAATTCGCTTTCTTTTGTTCTTTCGGTCTGGAAAAAAAAATAAAGTGAAAATATCGTCTCGACTAAAACATGTTTATACATCATAGTATTGAAAAAAAGAACAAGTCTAAAACAAGCACTGTATCCAAATCATAGATTACTATTGAAGATCTGCAAAATGGCAATACGAAATTTTTCGAAATTAACGATGAAAGTATAACTAATGAGATCAGTCCATCATGATCTATACCAACATTTAAGATCGAAAATTTTATTGTTATATGGTTTGATTCAGGCGTAGATGTGGTAAGCAAAGAACTGCATCCATCCCCACATTTGAGAGTCAACTGACAACAGGACCATTTAACAGAGATCACTGTGGTTATAGTGTTGCCAGGAACCCGTTAGAAGTCCGAAACATGTGCAACTTAGCCTAACTCTAACTGATTTAGATCAAGCTCGGATTCAAACACTACTTTTAATTTTTGCGATTTAGATCACAGTGGCCACAAAATGTTTTCGATTACGATTCCAACATCTGAGAAATAACACGCTCCAAATCGATGAACAGACATACAATTGAAGATATCTTGTGTACATTGAAACCCATGTGGTGAAAATTAAGAATAGTATTTGAGCCCTAATCCCGTGCCAACTCAATTATTCGAATTCAGGTTGTTGCCTGCTGTCGCAGCTTTTCTTTTAACTGTATCTGCAGTTGGAAAATGATACCGACTAGCCGGAGTTTGACATGTTTTGGTACTTGCAACAAATAGTGTAGTCATTGTGTGAGAAACCATGTTGACAGCATGAAACTTGTGTTGATTGTGACAAAAGTCTTCTGATAAATGTATTTGAGTTTTGAGCTCTTCAAGTTTTTGAATGGATTAAAAATGAGCAGTCTTCGAAAAGGATAGAGAGTAATAGTCACAATGTTAAAATCAACTGGTTACAAAAAAGAGAATTTTTGCAATCTCAGGCGAATCTATTGTAGAAAATTTTCAATTGCATAAAGGTGAACTTAGTGATGAATTCAAATTCTGATATGTTGCCCTGAGAGTAACGTCTATGGATGAGATTTCAGAAGGATCGATCTCGAAGAAAGATTTCAATTAAAGAAATCGATTAGTTAAGAAACAAAAACAAACGTTAATTCAAAACAAGAAGAGCCGAATCTAATCATTGAAGGATTGACATGGATATTGAAGAGATTTTTCCGAACAACTAGTCGAAAATTAGCGAAATGAGAAATCAAAATATTGTTCTCTGTCATTGTTATCTTTCCTTGTTTTCGCATTTCTTGAAGACTCACCGTATTCATCTGAATCAGCCGTTTTAATGATTGCTTCAAGTTTACTATCAGAAACAACTCGCTGCAAAAATTTTGAAATGTGCAAGCTTACAAAATATTTTATTCAAACCCTCAACTACCACCACACACATATACTGACAACCTCGATCTGTTCTACTTCTCTTTTATGTATTTTCAATACGATTTATTTCAAATATGCGCACTGATTGCAAGTCAAATGCTGCTCTTATGCCAACGATTTCGTGGTCTTTGTTGTCCGCAATTTCCGTTTACACAACACTCACTGGGACCAGGCCATATAATTAGATTGGCGATACAAAACAAGACTGCTTTATTGCATCGAGCACATGGATCAAACAACGCTACACCTGGTATCCCTACATACGTATTGAGCGAAATATATAGTCAAGAGAAGCATGGTCAAGTATGCTTACACGACCAACCCCAACTGTTTGCACGACATCTATGTCTCTTGAAACATTCATCATGCCGATCGCAACATTTGCCTTTTGGACCGCAGCTAGGAATCATCACATCACAGCCGTAGTTATCCTTCATTTGAATCAACATTCTAATCAAAACGTCTTGGTTAGTGTACATTGAAGAACTAACAACACATATGTAAAAAATTGAACAAATAACAAGGACAATTATCGTCGACAATTGCATTTTGTACCTCTAAAAAAATGATATTGTGCACATTCGATACCAGACTTAATGAAACTGCTTCTTACTGCCTCTTACCATTGTCACATGATGCTAAATCCCTATGTATATATGATACCAACATGCATCGACTTCCCACTAGAATCAAATACGATTTGAGTCGAGTGTTGTCGCTGTCTTCTGTGAATGACCATTTGTATTTAATAAGCTATGCTTCTGTTTAGAAACACTAAGTACGACAATCTACAGATCTAGAACTTCTTTTAGAAAGTTAGGGCATGGGTATAGGTGTAGTTCTTCTGTTTACCACAACCATACCACATCCACACTCTCTTTTGTACTTCGATAAAAAAAAGAAAATGCATGTGAATCATTTTTTTATTTGAAAATAGATGACAAATATGTATCATTATTGTTTACTAAAAATTATTTATATATATACGAACATTAGAGGTTCAGAAATAATCATTTTTCAAGTATTATATGTAAAATGGAAAGTTTATTCACTGAATATCATACATAAATATCAGTTGAGTTCTGTGAGAACGGCTGAATGAAAAATTTTGAAATTATCAAGACAAACAGATACTGGGGACAAATGCAAAAGTTATCATAGGTTCAGCATATTCTAAGCTTGTTTGCCAAAAATATTAATAATGCAAGTAACATATATTGTTCTCTGGTGTAAATATTTACTATGCAGCTTTTTTCTCACGAATGGATATACTTGGAATATTCTTTGTTTTAATGATAGTAACCATGCATAAAAGACGTTTTTTGTTCAAAAATCGCTTCTCCCGTAGTTCTCACATGTCTGATTTTAGTTGACTGCCTCCACTCCTCGTGAATGTCCAGCTTTAAAAATTCTGTTTGTTTTAGAAAGTCCTGAAAAAAGCGAAAAATTCTACGAACATTCCTATGCATTTGACTTTTACCTCGGCTCTTATCTGAATTGATATTTTTTTCGTCTAATCCTCTGTTCTTCCCACTTTTTCGGATGACCTTTATATAAATAAGCGCAAGTTAATTTTTAAAGTCTCCTGGAACTGTACCAGCAATATTTTCAAAAGAAACATTTTAATCCAATTGACTGCACTCTATAGAACAAAGCTTTTGCTTTTGTTGTGTAAATCTATTTTTGAGAAAACTGCAGAAATTGTTATAAATTTTTTCACTGTTTTTTCTTATTTATGTATCTTTATTTGTTAAAAATATTCTATAAAAGCATAAATATAATAAAATAAATTACTAATCAAGCTCTGTTTTGGCTCTCGAGTGAAGAATGAATCCATAAAGTTAAGTAGATCTTATTTTTTTATTCCTTCTGGTTTTTTAGATTCTACCATAAATAGCTACTGAAATCAACAAATGTATAAATCTCTATCAATCAAATCAAAAACCACATGAGTTATACGTCATCTCCTAAATTAATGCTTTTTTCGGAATAATTATCTTGGAATTCACTGTTTGCCCTTTCAGCAACAGCTTATCAATAGCAATGCCTGAAGGAAAAGGATAATAACTACATAGAAAATATAACTATTCTTTACGCTAACACATAAGATAAGGAATTAGAACATCAGAGAAAAACCAAGGTCATATATATAACTATTGTAAGATACAAGAATTATATCAGAACGTCGAGAAAGTCATAAAGAAGAAGCAATAACATTATGCAAACAAAAACTCTTCTTGCTCTATTTTGTACTATTATTGTACTTTTAGTCAGAGTCAATGATGGTGCACCAGCAGCTCCAAAGCCAGTAGCAGCTAAAGAAGAGTCATCTAAGATTAAACAAATGTAAAAACTAATCAAAGAAACTAAAACATTTAATAATAAGATTTGTGTCTATTTTAAGTCCACCAACTCTTAGTGGTGCTCGTACACCATGGAAAACAAGTATTGATGCAAAAAGTAAAAAATTATTCAATGATGTAAGTTTATTTGAAATCATTCATGTTGAATCTTCTTTTCTTATATTCTAGAATAAACCAACAATAAAAAAAAAACTTCAAAGCATTCATAAAGTACCAACAACATTTAATCCTAAACCATCAAAAGTAGCAACACAAGTTGTTAATGGTATTCTCTATCACTATTTAGTTAAGTTACCAACAAATAAATATGCATATGTAACAGTCCTTAATCGTCCATGGAACAAAAGCAATAAACTCGCAAATGAAGAACATGTTATTGTACGACCGGAACTTCATGGATTAAATGATAAGAATATTTAATTATACTGCTGAGAAGACCGGAACATATAAACAATTATATTTTTGACATAGTTTATCAGTTAGATAAAATAGACCCAAGCTTTTTCTTGTTTCATTTGTGTTCTATCCAGACGTTTGTTCCCCGTAAAATGCAAGTATCTAGTTGTTTATTTTGGTAAACAAAAATAAATAATGTTCGTAATTTTTCACACAAAGTACTGATACAATTAAAACAATGAGGAAGTTTTAAAATAATATGATGACGTATTCTTTGTATATAAAGGATAACTCAAAAATTCTATTTGAATTTATAGAGTACATGTATGGGTTGTAAGAGATCAAATTATACAGTTGTTGTTTTTTTTATTAAAGAAAAAATCACAATGCAAAATGACCGTATGGCTAGTCGATATGTTATCTGGAATTTAAAATCACAATCGAATTTAAATTATGTTTTCCCTAATTTTGTCTATTATCTTATTTAATAATAATTTTTAGATATATCTGCAGGGTAGAAAAGTTACGTACCATGCAGAAGAAAGTGAATCCTAAAGTGAATTAACCTGAAAAATAGTAATTTTGTTTTGTTTATTGAAACATTCACTTTTTCAATGTTACAAGTCTATACATCATTGAACATGAAAAATCTTATTTTTTAAAACTGTTTTATGAAAGAATTTTTAAAATTAGAATAACACATGTAATGAAGACTTCGCCGGTATATTATATTATTCATGCCCATATACTGAACAGACCTTTGTAATCTCTTTTCATCATACGAGTAAAAGCTTATTATATAAAAACAGATACCCTTCGATGGGGTATATATCTGTATGAACTTGCCTGGTTGTAAGTCTTTTCATCACCCACATATACCCATACATACCATTTATAGTTGAATACATCGTGAATAATGCAGAGCATATGTGATGAACGTTTTCATTGATCAAGAATGGATTTTACAAATGTTTTTCATGTGTACTGTTGGATTCGAAATTGTGATGTGATACCATTACCATGATTGCCTTGAGTAAAATATCATATTCATAGAAAACAGCAGTTACATATTGTTTTACATGGATGATATGAATAGCCTCATCGTTGCTGTAGACCAGCTCAAGATTCATTACATAAGAACACTATCAGTAGCGGATGCTATGGGATGCTAGTTTGTTGTTCCTCATCGACGAAAGTGACACGATATGAAGTGTGGAAAAAAAAGAGATACAAAAGAAATGAGAATGGTTTGTCTCCTATGCATTCATACTTGACGAGAGACATTTAACTGATGACAACACCTTCTAGTCAAACATGTAAATGTATTAGAAAAGTCCATGAACATTGGATCATTCGACGCTAATTACTTTGAGACTGATGAGATGTTCCTTCATTTCCAATCATTTTTCAGCTAGTTTAACCGTATTCAATCGTCTTCTACGTTCGATGTCTTTTTTCTCCGCATTTTCATTGATAAACAAAATCTAGTTGGATATGACTTATTTTTTAAAAATTTTATTAAATTTCAAAAATACTATTTCTTATCGTTTAAAAACTTTGTTTTCTAGAACAGAAAAAGGTGTTTCGAGAAAGATCACAACGAGAATGGTAGCCAAATATGCGAAAGAACAGTTTAGACACGTAGGTATTGAGAAAAGTCTTTGATTTATTGAATAGAGTGACGAAGATGACCACAGAATGAATCACATAACCAGTGTAATTTTAACGTACTAACGATGACTTAATGGAGAAAGACAATATTCGATTGACAATATCAGCTGGATTGATATTGCACAAAAATGAAAGTCATGAAATTGAAATCGACTAAGTGGGCCGAGGTCGAGTTTGATAAGGAATGTGTGAGAATTGACTGAGACTACATACCAATACATAATTATCATAGCTCGAGAAGATACAAGTCAAGGTAAGTGTAATAACAAAAAGATTTTCGATAGTCGAAGGGAAGTATTTAGTAGACTACTGTTGAACATTTCCGAAGCCAGAAAAATCCTGTTTGTCTCGTTCTTCTGAAAATCGAGAATTTTGGACAAACTACTCGTTTCCAACGGTGAAAAATTCTTATATGTCTCGTTGCAGTAACTATAATATTGTTGTATTATACGTGAGGGAATTTAATTTCTGATCGTGTTTGGAACAAACAACTCTGAACCATTAGTCAGTTTTATTATCTTCTCGCCGAAGGGCAAATCGGTACACACCAACGAGGACGTCATAAAATCTACAAAATGCTCTAATTGTGCATTATCGAATCGTTGGCAGGTTTGGGGATTCGGCTCGATTACTACTCCTGTACCCATCGTAGCAGCATGAAGTCGAGCTGATGTGAATCGGTATAGGGTAAGACTAGGAATAAAAGAAGAAATCATTTTATAAGAAATTTTTTGCGCAACTATACTCAAGATTGCTTTTCTTGTTGGCCAGTTGTCAGCATTATTGTATGCTGATGTTACTCCATGCATTACTTTTATGAACTTTCCATCTAAAACTAAATTATATTTTGCATCACCTTCGTGACAAATTTCTTCGAATACTAGATCTGTATTGTTCGTTGCTGGTATTGTTAAAATAGATTTCAAAATTGCTCGAGTTCTCGTTATAAAAGATGATTTGCCTTCATCTGTTAAATTCGTATATGATTGCGTTACCCAAACATTATACTTGCAGCCGCAAAGTTTTAACAGATAATTCAAACACTTTCGTTTTTCTGCATCTCTTTCCTTTATTTCAGCCTTAGTTGCACTGGAAAACGGTGTTGATAATGCAACAGAATAGCTAGAATTATCATCTTTCTCACTTTCATTCTGTAGCGTTAATTCACTTAACCAAATTAACTGTTCTGCTGGAAACAGCTTCTTTCTATCTATAATAGATCGTAATTCGTTACTACATTGATGACATATCGCATCACCATAACTATTTGGCACACTATATATTTCAAAAAGTCCGTACGCTTCTTTTTTGGTTATATGTTTCAGATGGCTCAGTCCCTTATGTGTCAATGTTCTCTTCATAACAGGTATACACATAGTACATTTCTTTACTGTTCTTGGTCCTTTACTTTACATAAATGTTTCAAATGCATTTCGCATACTGCTAACTTATATAAATCAAATTTCTTTTCTCTAAGCTGATTACTTCGAAGAAGAATAAGTTCCAATGTGGTTTGGCAGTCGGGAAAAGCTCGTGGATTTATCGGTGGATTCAGCAGTTCTATAAAACAATGTAAAGTCAGATCACAATTACAATTTTCATCTGGAAAAAAGACACACTGCTTGGTAATATTAGATGTAGTAGCCATCTCAGTATGTGTATCGTATTGAAAGTTATACAATACCTCCCCTGTGTATTTTCACGAACCTGTTATGTAAAACTCTTCAAATATATCGATAACCAATGAGCCTTAGTGACAACCGTTCACCTTTGCTTCCTAAATATAACAGAAGCCTGACACTATCTATTGAACTTGCTGAAAGAGAAGTTTGTTTAAAGGTGACTAGATGATATACGGTTTGTCCAGAAGAATATTGTGAGCAAAATCAAATTTTTGATCGCAAAGAAGACTCACAGTATACGAATAACTCTCAAACAAACATGATCTAACCAGATTAATGTATAATTTGTGTAACTCAAATAAAATTACACATGCTCTTCTTACCTGTAGAAAATAGTTTTCGTTTTAGATTCACTTATAACTTACAGCAAAAAAATAGGGATTGTTGCTACTCAGAAATAAAAAACAGACTAATGTGCGCTGCACCGTAAATAATTCGATTAATATTCACCGCCGTCAAGAAAAAGAATAAAAGTTCAACATTGTGGACTAACCTTTTATCCGATAAACAATAGTTACACTGTGACTATTGTTTGAATGACTAACCATGTGTTATAAGAGAAATGGCCGAAATAGTCGTGGTGAGTGTACTAAAACAAAAAATTTACATTTTAAAAGGCATCTTAAGTCTTAACGAATCGCAAATTTTAATTAGTCAGATTTTCCTTTTCTTTTTCAAAATTATTATTGAATAGAATCACACGAAATCTACAGTACTATATCATTTTTCTTGATTATGGAACTATTTCTACCTGTATGTGCTTATACTCTACTGTCTAAGTATTTTAAAAATATGTTCTGAAAAGAAACGTGTATAAGTACAAGATTTTTTTTAAATTATTTTTTTTTCTAGGAAAAAGAAGATATAATTGCACAATTGCAGAAATTACTTGATCAATATAAAAATGGTTTATTAAACATTGATGATTATTTAGATCAAGTAAAAGAAGTTGTTGAACAAGCTAAAAATTAGACAGTTATGTTGATCGTCAGATAAAGAGACAATATTCTCTTCGTTTATTCTTTTTTTTGTTATGTACGAAATTATTTTGGAAAAAAAAGACTATTTTAACTCAAGGCATAGAAACATTTCTTTTTCATATAGTAAATTAATTAAGTTTGATTTCGAAAAGTAAAGCATCAAATAATTAGAAAAATGGTTTCAGAATTATGCAAGAGAAAACGAAATTCGTAACGGAAGTTTTTTTATGATAAAACATGTATTTCTTTTTGCGAGGATTCATCAACCATTGGATCGAGATGAAAAGTAAGAGATTAAAATTCGAGTTTGATTTAATAATCTTTTTATTGTTAATTCGTATTTTCTAATGCAAATACAAAATGATCTATTTATTGTTTATAAAATTGGTAAATACTTTTTAAATATGATTCAACACAAATACGTAAAATTTCAATTTCACTATTTAAAAATCTTTACTACGGTCTATAATATATAATGAAGCTAATAAATGTCATGTAAATCGACCCTAATAATCATAATTAAAATCATTTAGGTGAAAAATTGACATCTAATGATTATTCAAATATGAACCAAAATTTTCAATATAACAAGATAATGAAATATGTTTAGATGAATAATAATATTTCAAGATATGTTATAAGAATTAATTTATTGATTTTCCAAAGTTTTCAGTTTTTATAAAAAAAAAGA